GCTCTATACGATACGATGACAGTTGATTGCAGTGGAGTCACTCAACTCTGTCCGAGGGATGTGTATAAGAGACAGGCTCTATACGATACGATGACAGTTGATTGCAGTGGAGTCACTCAACTCTGTCCGAGGATTCGTGAGACCTCTTGGTGTTTTTTTTTTTTGTTTTTTTTTTTTTCCTTCTGTCTTGAGAGGTAGTTGCTTCTTGGTTTTGCGGCTAAATACACTGTACACACGTTTCTCTGTGCTTTTTCTGTGTGATCTTGGTGAATGATACACACTCGTCTGTTCTGTCAGCTTTCCCTGCATATATGTAGATGTCTGCTTAACCCGATGCAGACATTTGACGGCAGCTAATAGCTTGGTGTTTTGTGCGTCTTGCGCTTGAGATGGTTGCAGTTGCGCAGCCCGCCCCTCTTTCCCGGAGTCTTCATTGTTGTCCTCACATTGTTCCTGTTTGATATGTGTTTCTGTTTGATATACTTTATTTATTAATCATACTCCTTGAAAACCTGAGAAAGAAACGATTCTGGGCCCTTGGTTGGGTGTTGCTGGCAGGCAGGTTTTCTCCTCTTCGCATCCCAGATTCAGCATCAGCCACGTCAGTATCTGCCGAACCTAATCCATTGTGAACTTTGGAGAGACGATTGTCGATTGAACTCGTGTATCGCTGAATACGATGATGGAGCCACAGAAAAAAACTTGAGAAGTAGCTCTGGCTATCGGATCTGTGAATAATCTCTACGGCGGCGGCAACAAATGAGTGAGAAACATGCAGTTGGACGAAGAGGCCGTGTACTCGACCGTCCCCAACTGATTGAGAAACTGTTTTACGACAATCATATGATTGATTGGTTTACGACAATGCTAATTGATTGATTGATTGATGAACGACAATGATAATTGATTGATGAACGACAATGATACAGCAGTATCGGAAACCAGGGAGACGAGACGGCGGCGGTATGTTCATCTTTGTGATGGAGTGCAGTTCTTTTCTCTGCGAACAGTAATCGACCAGATCTCAGGGCAGGCAAGTAAAGAGAGAAGGTATACTCTGTTTGAGAAGATAACCTCGGCGGCGGTTTTTTGGGGGAAAAGAAAAGATAATGTCTAGGCCGCGACTAGATCCTGCCGCGTTTGAACCGCTTGGAGGAACGCTAAGCTCTCGCTACGCTGAGGCCAGGCTGCCGTCAGATGTCAGCGCGGGAGCGAACCCTGCAAGCATGCAATCGTGGCACGAGACGCCGTCTGCCGCCGCGTATCGGACGGCAGCTGCTGCTATGTCAGAGGCTGACAATGTCAGGGGAGTGTATCATGCAGCAGGCTTGGGTGCGGCGGGCCACGGGGGAGGCAACAGGCAATCAGGGGATTGGGGTGAAGGGGCGGGGATACTGCCGCCGCCGTCCGTCGATGCTGGAGTGGGCGGGAGTTCGTTGGAAAGATCGAAAAAGTTCCAACCTGATGCGGGATTAGGGTATGGTTCGGCAGCAGACGCTCTGGGCTGGGACGGGACGGCAGCGAATGCGTTTCCGCGAGGTCGCCCCGGCTCTCCGGGTTTCGGGATGAGCGGATCCTCGGCATCTAGATACTCCGCGCTCGCGGAACCTCTGGGGAGCTCGCTTTCAGCAAAGGCGGCGCTCGATCCCGCCTTGAGGTCCGCTGGCGGTGGCGGTGGCGGCGGCGGCGGCGGCGGCGCGGCATCACTGTACGCGGCGGCGGCAGCTTCGGCGCTAGAGACGGGGGGAGCGCCGAGCGGTCTCGGAGCGGGCCGATTCGGTTCGGGTATTGCCGGGGAGCTGCTACCTTCAAGTGGAGGAGGGGTAGGAGGGAGTCTTGGATGGTCGGAGCCTCGGGGGGCGACGGGTATCCTGCCAGAGCCTGCAAGTGTCAGACACGGGGGTTTTGATCGGGTTTCGCCCAGCCGACCTGGTGGCGGCGCTGACAATGTCGAGCTATCAAGGCGTTTATCAATGCAGGGATATGGTGGTGCCACGTGGGAGGGTGGGGGCGGAGCATATGGCGGGAGTGACGTGGGTGCTGCTGCGCATCAGGCTTATCATCAGTCGAACAAAAGCGGATCCCTCGGATCCCCAGGGCGCTCCGCTGCGCGGCAAGCAGCAGCAGATGGACAGGGCGAGCGCTCGGCGCAGCGTGGTTATGATGAGACCCGGGAGATGTACATGCGTTACGCGGGAATGGTGGCGGATCATCCGTCTGCCCGCTTTGTCGACGGGCAGCGGCACCAGTCTCCTGCGACTCAACGGGGGGGAGAGCGCGAGCGCTCTCCGCGCTACACGGAGCGGGACGGGCGCACCGCGGAAGCGAATCAGCGCGACGGTCGTTATGCGGAGCTGCAGCGCGATGGTCGGTACTCGGACGTAGCCCGCGAAGGGCTACTGCGCGGTGATCCGCGCTATACGGAAGCGCAGCGGTACGCGGCGGAAGCTCACCGAGGAGATTTGCGCTATGGTGAGGTTACAGCGCAAAAGGATGGACGCTATGCGGAAATGGCGGCGCAGAAGGAGACGCGCTATGGTGTTAGTTCAGCGGCGGCTAAGGACGTGCGTTATGCCGCCGAAGGCGCTCAGAAGGAGGCGGCTGCGCGCTATGGCTCCGAGAGTTCGCAGAAGGCTGGCGCGCGTTATGCCACCGAGGCTGCGCAGAAGGATGGCTCACGCTATGCGGACGGAACTTCTTCGCAAAAAGATTCTCGATACGGCGCGGACGCCGGTCAGCGCGATTCCCGGTATGGCGCTGGTGATGGTCTGCCGCGCGATTCGCGCTATGCCAGCGCTTCTGCCGCGCAGCATCGGGATGCACGGTACGCGGAAGCATTAGCGCGCGATTCCAGGTACTCGGAAGGACTGCAGCGGGAGTTACGCTCCTCGGACGCACAACGAGATTCCCGCTACAGCGATGCGCACCAGCGTGATCGTTCTCCCCGATATGCTGCGGCTGCTGCTGCCGCTGCCGCTGCCGCCGAGAAGACATCCGCTCGGGAGCGAGACAAGTCCCCGCGGTTCTCCGAAGCGCATCAGCAGCAGAGGGAACGCTCACCGAGGCATCGCAGCAGCGAAGGTGCTCACCGCGACCGCTCTCCGCGCTATGCAGCCGGCGGAGGGATATTGCAACGCGACCGCTCCCCTCGCAGAGGGGACGCAAGCAGAGATCGAGAGCGCTCCCCACGCGGCACCGATGTCCGTCGCGACAAATCTCCGCGCTACGCCGATGGTCTCCGTGACCGCTCCCCCCGTGTCGCGGAGAAGCCCGCCGATCGCGCGGCCAGCTATGGCGATTCCCTGACCTCGCACCTCGACCGGTCCGCCTCTGGGCGGTACTCCTCCACGCACCTAACGACGACTGACCGTTCGGGGAAGTACGCAGATCTACCAGCTGCTGCTGCTGGCGATCGCTCTTCAACGAGGCACTCGACAGAACGGCAACGAAGCACGGAGACCTCGCGAGCATATGGACAAGATGAGGATTACCGTGACTCTCAACGATATCGGTACAGGCGTGGAGTGTCGCCGGAAGGTAAAGAGGGAGCGGCGGCGGCGGCGGCAGGGAACCGATCGTCTTCTGCCACTGCGGAGATGTATCGTTCGGGCAAGGAGTACGACTCTTCACTTCCCGCAGGCGCGGGAGCAGCAGGTTCATCATCCCACAAGAGTGGGACGCCGTCTTCCCGTGACCGTGATTACGCTGATCGACGGCAAGGAGGAGTTAGTCCTGTTCTGAAGGCGCGCAAGTTAGACGGCCGAGATGCATCATCGCCTCGAGGAGCGGCTGGCAGCAACAGTTCTGCCAGGCACCATGTCATGGATGAACGGGAATATGCGCAATTGCTATTGGCGGAGCGAGCGGCAGGTATGCTTTTCCAACCTTCTTTCCCTGTTTGCTGTTGTTCATCAAGCCGCTGCCAGCGGCTATCACCGCCCGACCTCTTCATTTCTTGGTAGTCATATGGTTAGTTTTAACAAGTACGGCAGCAACCAGTTTGTCTCGTGCAAACTTGAACTAACATGTCCGTCTGATGAATGGAAAGCACTTATCTTAAGATCTCTTCTGGGAGATGTTTCACTTAAAAAATACGCAATAAGGATGCAAGATCCATGCTCAATAAGAATGCATGATCAATGCTAGATCCGTAAGATATTCAACAAGATTGTAGGATCCTATATTAGACATAGCCAACTTCAAGAATAGTATTGTTTCCATGGATAGCCCTCTTCATTGATACAAATATAGCAATGAAGGGGCGGAGACGAGGTCAGACCTTGGGAGATCACGAGAGAGAGAGAGAGAGAGAGAGAGAGAGAGAGAGAGAGAGAGAGAGAGAGAGAGAGAGAGAGAGATTGAACTAGTTTATCAACATTAAACTATTGAAGAAGCCTGTGCGAGAGGGACTCCGATTTGGGGGCTTCCTCTCAATGTCTTTCTGTCTCTACTGCGCCGAGAATGTGCTAATACTGTACATCTTTGTGGGTCTGCTCGGTACCCTGATTGTTACCGGTGATGTTTGTCTCCTGTCATTTCTCTCGTGAAACTGGGCGCGTGCTCGATGATATTATCATCCTCTCGTTGAGGCTTTCGTTATCTTGTGTGAGTGTTCCTTCCACTTTTGTTGTTGTCGTCATCCTGCATAAATCAATCAATCAATCAATCAATCATCAGCTGTCATCTCAGGCGGAGTTTCCTTTGGGCTTGCATCGTCTCATTCTAAGCATAACGGGAGCCCCCCCACTGGCACACAGTCCTGTCACCATTGGTCCGTCCACTGTTGTCCTTCAATCATGCAATCAATCATCAGCATTCGTCGCAGAGAGTAAAAAGAAAATGACAAACAAGAAAAAAAAAAGACAAAACAAGAAAAAAAAAAGGACAAAACAAGAAAAAAAAAAAGACAAAACAAGAAAAGAAAAGACAGGATATCCATTGGTCCGTCCTTGCATCTATCCTCAGACTCAGCACACCGTCGCGACGGTGTTCGAGATGATTCGAGGTAACGCGATCCTTTACTGGTCCTGGCGTGATTGTTTTTTTTATGGCAGATTGTGGGATCTGAAACTGTAGAAGAAAACCTGTTGTTTGGTGTTTGGTGCTCTCGTCCCTGTGTCCTCTGTCAGGTCGCTATCGAGAGGAACGAGAGTTGCTGGCGCGAGGGTATGCATCATCTGCAGGGGGTAGCGGGTCAAGTGGACGACATATGCGAGATGGAGGCGACGGGATCTTGCGGTCGGGATCCCCCGAGATTTCTAGGGAGGAGTTTCGTGCAAGGCTTCGGGCGGCGGAGGAGCGGTACGCAGCAGCAGCTGAGGACCAGCGTGTTCGCAAGGACAGGTGGCCTGGACCAGATAAAGGCAACGAGGGGGGAATGAAAGATCCCAGAACAGAGAGGGGGATATTGAGCATGGGGGGAGCAGATGAGAGGGGGTTGTTGCCGCCCATGCATCACCATCCTTATCAGGGAGGAATGGGACCAATGGGACCAATGGGACCAATGGGACCGATGGGACCGATGGGACCGATGGAACCTCGGATGATGATGCCGCACCACGGTATGGGGGGGGGCTTTCCCCCGCCGGGAGCGGGGTTTCCGCACGGCCCCCCGTTCCCTCAGCCTGGCGGAGGGCCATATCAGCCGGGGATGCCGCTCCCTCCTCCTGGCATGATGATGCAGCACGGCATGCCAATGGGAATGCCACCCCCTTACATGATGGGTCCCCCCTACCCCCCGCCCCCTAATATGGGCCCACCGCATCCAATGGGTCCAATGGGACCCCCTCCCCCTCCTATGGGGCCTCCCCACATGGGACCACCTCATATGGGGCACCCCCATATGGGCCCCGCCGGCCCCAATATGCACCATATGATCGGTCCCAACCATGGAGGCCCAATGCTGGGACAAGGGAAGGCTAAAAGAGGACGGCGCAGAGATGGCGAGGGGATGGACAGACCTGGTATCTATCGACGGTTGGATACGAACGCATGGTATGAGAAGAGATTTGTCATGACCAAGCAATGGGGTTTCTGGTTGCCGACGGAGCGCTGGGCGAGGTGAGTTTCTCGCTTTTCTCCTTGCCACTCCCCTAGTCCACTTCCCATTCGAACTCCTTTCCGCAAACTCCACAGCTTCCGGAGGCTACAATCCGGCCGACCCTCCCCCCAACGGCTCTTGCCTCTGCAGATCGGACGGATTCTGCCTCCGATGGTGAGGGGAGTGTACGACGCTCTCCGTGCCATGCCTTTTTTTTTTTTTTTTTTTTTTTTTTTTCTCCTCTCAATTTCACCTCACACTACCTACCTACCACTACTCCTAATTGTAGGCCTACGGGGAACCCCGAAGCATCCAGAACCGTGTTCGTGAGAGAACATGGGGGGGCTGCTCCCGACCTGCAGGTGGGCGATACACAGGGATTGGTCCTGTTGGCATGGTCCCTGATGCTACCGGCCATTGTGTTTCCATACGGGCACAGTCCAGGTAGGATGAGCACGCTATAAAAATCTCTGCTGTGAACACTATGAAGGGATGGTCATTGCCAGCCTCTGCCATGCAAAGTGTATCATCCATGCCATTGCGTTTCCACACAGGCACAGTCCAGTTAGGATGTCCACGGTGTAATCTCTGCTCTGAAGGCCATGAAGGGTTGGTTGGTTACTGCCAACCTCTGCCATGAACAAAAACCTCTGCCATGAAAAAAAAACTGTAACACTTTGTCTTGCACTCTCATCTCCCCCCAACGTGCTTATCACTTCTGCGAGATGTTGTTGTGGCCTTCGCATTCCATGCTTGAATAACTGTGAACGTGAGCCAGGTGTGCTGCCATGTGACGCCCATGATTTCAGGAGGCGGTCAGTGAGAGTACGTGTGTCTACTCTGTGGACTATCCCCGATGCCATCACCGACATCCTCTCCGTTCATGTCCCACGTGCAATGTTGGGCATCCGCCGGCTGCACCTGTAAATGGAAGGACACCCTGCCCATTCTTGACAGATGAGGAGAAGGTGCAGCAGTCTGAGGTGGAGAATAGCCCCTCCCACAGGAACCACCTACAGTGTGCCGCAATAAAAGGTTATTGCAGAGAGCAGTTACAGACCAGATCTTGTAACAGCTCAGTAGTACCTTTACTATGCATCAGGCCCCTTCATCGCCTGTCCATAGAGAAGGAACACCGGCTGTGGAGTCCCGATCAATGCCGCAGTTTGTGTTGGCCCACCTGAAATTCTGGCCCACCTGAAATTCGGCTAGTATGTGATTGGCATGCTTTGTCTCGTGCGGATTATGATGGTGTAGCGCATGCAAGTCTTTGTTTTCATACGGATTATGACAGTCAACATTGTCAACATCGTAAACATTGTACCATGTGTGTCCGACACCCTGAGATGGTATGGCCTATGTTTAGACGGGGGCTGCAAACGCAATGCCTATACAACTGCGGTCGGCGGGCCTGTGTTCTGAGCATGCGGACACCATGTTGCCTATGACATCTTTCAAGGCACCTATGACATCTTTCTATGCCTTGGTATTCGATGCAGCAATGGCGACTCTCACTGGAACTGGTCTCTGTCCGGTCTGCAGAGGTGGCCGTTTTTCATAGGCAACACCCGCTCGTGAACTTCGTTTTCTTGGCAATTGAAGTACTGATTGGCGTCCTTCGGGACATCCGTTAAAATTGGAACGATACAGAGACTGAAGATTAGCATGGCCCCTGCGCAAGGATGACACGCATAAATCAAGAAAATATGGTCCAAATTTTTGTTATATATAAAATAAGAAAAAGGAGTACTGATTGGCCTCTTGTGGCATTCTTTAGTAGTCTGCGGTGCTGGTGAATACTGAGAAGAACCTCGTCTTTCCCCTGTAGTGTTTCTTCTTTCCTCGCATCTCTCCCCTTCTCTGTCTTCGTCCTCCCGCCCTCCGTGCAGAAGTAGTAAAGGCATACTAATCAGCATCATAGAAAGTACAGACAAAATGTACCCCTCTTCCTTTACTCTGCCTCGTTTTCATAGCATGCAAGTGGGCCGTTGTGGCACACGGGGATGTGGGCAGGTGACGCTCAACCACAGTTGACATGGCGAGCCTTGTACGTGAGAGGCAGTGTCAACAACGACGCACAGGTGAGCCTAAAAACCACCCCGACCCCACCCAAACCCACACCCGACCAACAAACCCCTACCCACCGTCATTTGCACCCGTTTCCTTCATTTTCTTGCAGGCGAAACTGCAACAGGTACCCTTGTGAGCATCATAGAAAGTACAGACAAAATGTACCCCTCTTCCTTTACTCTGTGTCTTTTTCATAGCATGCAAGTGGGCCGCTGTGGCACACGGGGATGCGGGCAAGTGACAGTCAACCGCAGTCGACATGGCAAAGGGGGAGCTGCAAGAAGAATGAAAGAGAAAGTTCAAAGTAATCTGAAGCGAGGAAGGCGAAGAAAGAACTGCACAAGGAAAAGGTTTTAGTGTGCTTCATGTTGTCTATTACAGAAGATTCTAAGGTGAAGTCGTTTCAATTGTGGATCTAATCATTTGAGGGGGAGGGGGGAGGGGGGGAAGGGAAAGGGGTTGTTGTGGTGACAGTTTACAACACACAAGATGAGTCAGAGATAGTCGGTCGAAAGTCAGGCACAGGCTCATTTTTTTGTGGATGTGTATACCGAACATGACAACGCTCACCCACTGAAGCAACTCTCTCTCTCTCTCTCTCTCTCTGTGTCTCACACACACGCACACACACTCACCCCCCCACCATCACCACCACCACCACCATCAGCACCATCTCCCCATTCGACATCTACTACTATATCATCCCCTCAGTCATCGGGGTTGTTGTGGTGACAGTTTACAACACACACAAGATGAGTCAGAGATAGTCGTTCGAAAGTCAGGCACAGGCTCACTTTTTTGTGGATGTGTATACCGAACATGACAACGCTCACCCACTGAAGCAACACTCTCTCTCTCTCTCTGTCTGACACACACCCACACACACACACGCACTCTCACCCCCCCACCATCACCATCACCACCGTCACCACCATCACCACCATCACCACCATCACCACCATCACCACCATCACCACCATCACCACCATCACCACCACCTTCCCGTTCGACATCTACTACTATATCATCCCCTCAGTCATCTGCCTCGTCTTCATTTTTGTCTTCTTCTTCCGCCTCCTACTCCTGCACCTCGTGTGCCTCCCCTTCTTTATCGACCTCATCATCAGCACATTCATGATCAGCCGTCACAAAGGCCCTGTCGGCAGGGACGTCCAGCGTCGGATCGATTGTTACAGATGACTCTTTGATGGAGACGTTACCCCTGACCGCCGCCGCCACCGATTCACAGTCCTCGTCTGTCCTGGAACAGCATGAATATCACACCCCCTGCAGGGGTTAGAGATCTGCTCCGACGATATGTTCGCAACTGTGCAGAATGACGTCGCCGCTGTCGATATACACTAGCCAGTAGTAGTACATCTCGAGTCCGATGCCCGCAATGATTTCTTCAGTGCTGCAGGTTTGCGTGTGCACCAGACACGAGGTGCAGCTACCTGCGTAGCATTTGCACGACTAGCAGCCACTTCGAGTTCAAGAGCGACTGATCGACCTCCACTTCCCACAACTGACCCATGTATTCCTCATCAACCTGATAATGATCCACCTTCTGATCACTGGATCGACCTTAACTCTATTCTACGACTGATATGAACCGCCTACAGAGCGCTGTTCTGCTGATAGGTTGTCTCCACCAGGGCGAGCTGTTGCAGAAAAAATCCTGCAGCAGATGAACGCCCTTGCTTTGGATCAATCTCCCCCGTCGTCGTCTACCCATAGAGAAGGAATAAATACTGAGGAAACCCAAGAAACTTGCTCCATGCCGCTTTGTGATGACCCACCGGAGATTCAGCTAGCATGAGAGGCTCGCATGCCTTATGCCGTGAGGATTATGAAAGGACAGCCCAGGCGAGCTTTTGTCTTGTACTGCAGTCATGTACGGCACCCTGACATGTCATGTCCAATTTGTAGACAGGGCCTGGAACGGCAATGCCTCCACAATTGCGGTCGCCATCGCCTTTGTGTTCCTAACATGTAGGAGCCATGTACCCTGTGACATCTCTCTACGCCGTCACGCCGTGCCATTCGATTTAGTAACTGTGACTGTGAGATTTGGATGCGGTGCTTCCACAGGCCACACCCAAACCAGTCCTGCCCCGGTCTGTAGAGGTGGCCACTTACCAAAGGCAACAACTGCTCTCCTCAAATCTTTTATGCAGCCCACGCACTGACTGGCCTCGTGTGCCATTCTAGAGTGATCTGCCCCAGCGGTCACTATTAAGAACCTTGTCAGAACTCCACCTCCCATTTCCTTCCTCCCTCCTCTTCTGTATTCCTAGTAATACATACGAATGAGCATCATTATGAGAACAGACAAAATATAAGTTGAAGGTCTGAGAAGAAATGGACAGGAATATACCTCCACCTTTGCTTTGCCTCCTTTCATAGTGTGCAAGTGGGCCGTTATGGCACATGGGGATGTGGGCAGCTCGCGCTCAACCACAATCAACGTGGCGAGCCTTGCGCATGAGAGGCACGGTCAAAGGGGGAGCTGCAAGAACAAATGAAAGGGGTACCCCGAAGAAAGCAAATGTTAACACATTCAAGAAGAGGGTTTTTCATGCGTCTATTTGCATTTCATGTTGCTTGCTATAGAGGTGAAACTGTTTCATTGTTTTGGGTTGTCTGAACTCATAAAGGCTTTTGTTGTCTGTAATGGTATTGAATATGCTTTGATTTTGGATCTGCTCATCTGGGTGGAATAGGGGCTGTTGTGGTGAAATTCAAAACACACAAACACACACACACAAACTTGACAATATGCAAACAGCAGCAGCAGCAGCCACATAGCAACAGCAACAGCAACACCAGTAGACTATACGAAATCTGATTTACAGGGGCATACATCCGACAATGTGGCTTCATGCTGCAGAAGCACAAGAAGAACAGTAAAGCCATTCATAAGCCGTGCTGGCAACAAGCCACATGCTGCCACTGTTATGTTTTTTTTTGTTTTCTTTTCTTTTTGCCAATGTTATGTTTATAAGGGGAATTTGATGATTTACACGTCTTCGATGGACAAACATCCACTCCCTGCACCTTTTAGATGCAAAACACACACACAAAAAAAATCCCTCAGGCCCTCCTGGCTGTGTTCCCGCGTGATGCATTTGGTCAATTCCTTTATACTGATGATTGTTATGCTCTGCCTTTGCCCTTTATGGCAGGCATCCTTTCTCTCAGGGTAAGCATATGACAGCTATGGCCCCTCGCAGGCAACCAACTACCATTTGGCATTTCGTAGCCCGCCATTTGCTCACCAAGGGCGCCTGCCGTCTTCCCTCGAATAGAATTCAATGCCATCATAGCTGTATTTGCAGCAACTTTCCAGTGCGCGTGCTGTCCTCCCCCGAATAGCGCGCACTGTCATCATAGCTTCATTTTGTGGCAAATTTCCGTTTAGATACAGCGATAATGAATGCCTGGTCTATATGGGGGAAGATGGTAGCGTGTTAGTCTCTCTGATCCGATTGCCAATCTGCTGTCTGTCACGGTGAAGGCCAAGTCTGCTGTTACTGCCCAGCATTACCACCTCCTTTCCCCGAATACAGTCCATGTTTCTCGTTTTACAGGCAAGTGCTGCCCGATGCACTTCAGCCAGGCAAGGTGCAGGTTGTCTTCCATTGCTCATCTCTGGCAGCATGACGTATAGCAGCATGGAGTGAAGAGGTCCAGAAATGGGTAAGGATAACTACATTGCTGGACAGATGGTTTGCCTGCAGATTGGAGCGGCTCAGCATATCAAGGAGGAAAAAATATCATCTCTGTTTTTCTGACCGTGTGTCTATCGTATTAGAGACCAAGAACGCATGGATGCTATCATGGCATTCTTGTCTGGTTTCTCCTCCGAGGGGATGGGATTGTTCCGAAGTAGAGCTAGGTTAATCAGCCGGTTGCCAGCATGAGTGGTGGGTCTGACTGTAATGCTGTGTCTGCTTCGCCCGAATAGAACGACCGGGGATATTGGTTTAGATTGTGCAGTGCAGATGGCATATTCGTGCTTATCCTACTCAGGAAAGGTACGAGCTTCTCTCCATGCATATGTTCCCTTGGTCTTACGGTAAAGAAGGGTAGCGCAGAAAGAACAAATACAGGATACCAGCCTCGGGTATTCCTCGGTCGCTCGGACCTTTTGCTGCACGTTTGTGATGCCCCTCGGAATGGTATGCCTGAAGATTGACATGCTTGACGTTAGTTGGTAGGCCTGGATCACACATTTTAGTGTTTCCTGGTTCCTATTGTTTGGGTCACTTCCCGTCTATCTATTCCTATTGGTTTCAAGCTCTTTGTTTCGGTGCACTATCACTGGAGTTGCCTGGTTTAGGGCGCCACAGTGACTTGTTGCAAGCGCCGTAGCGTAAGCTGGCAGGAAAGTTGGTTCAAGTCCGATCGTCTCCAATTTTCCTCTGTCCATCTCCGTGCTTGATTGTTCAGGTGCACTGCCCGTTGCAATGGTTGTCCTGTAGACTGCTGGTTGTTTCTTTTGCTGAAAGCAAATGACGAATTGCAAAGATTGGATGGTGATCAGAAGGAAAAGATCCTTTTTCTTTTGCGCATGGTGTTCTGAAGTAATGGCGTTGTTGATGGTGGTGGTGGTGCTTCTGCTGATAAGGTCCACGACAAGGATGCCAACACTGATGATGGTTATGATGTTCTAGTTATTAGCATTATTGATTCCGAATTTCTGGAGGGTCCGTTCTTTTGTGTGTGCAGCAATTGGAAGTTTGCGCTCAGGTGGTATACAGAAGAGGTGGTTTGTCATGATGCATCCTACCACTCTGTGATTCAACTGACGGGGCCTCAGGTAACTGATTTCCTATATTTATTTCTCTTCCCTGCCCTCCCGCCCGCACCCCACACTTCCCCCTCTCCTGCTCTCCCCTCTCGGCCCTTGTCTCTTTCCTTTTCACTTGTGCTCTCATCTTGTCGTGATGTTGTCTATTGTCTGCAACTGTTTAAAGGTTGCACCAACCACTCTGTCCTTGCCTGTGTCAGGACTTGCACTTTCCTCAATGTATCGGACTGCAATTACGGCCAGAACTGGATGAATCTGACTGCAATCACGCCTGGAGCTTAGTAGAAAGCGTCCTGTGTTAGAATGCCCTGATGCCATGGGGATACACACCACGTTACCCGGGCATAATCAGTGAATACAGAGCGAAGTTATGCTGGCATAGTGTCACCAGAAACTGCATTCTGGTACTGTTGCAAATGTCTTGGTGTGGATAAGAAAGAGCAATGAAACCTCGGGGGCTGATCTGATATCAAAGGTGATTGCCCCAGACAAAGTGGTTTTGGTGTTGATGGGCTCTTGATGGGTGGCCCAGACAACGACGAATGCTCTTGGAAATGCTTGATCTTGGTGTGGGTTGCTGCGCTGTGGATGGGCTGTTGATGGGTGTCTTAGGTGATGGCAGTGGTCTATGTTCACCCCGGGGGGATTTCAGTTTGGTGGCTGTGTCTGGACCTGCAGGTCGGTCGAGGTGGATTGCTTGCAGCATGAAAGTCTAGTAAATCCTCCAATTTGGCATGGGTGAACGTGTCAGGACCTTGACGTGAGTGGTGATGTAATGGTGGCACTGCTGTCTTCATGTGCGTCTTGTTTCTTTTCCCTTTCTTTTTTTTTGTCTGTGACCCTAGCTAATGGCGTTGACACGTGTGGAGATGTAATTGTGGCACTGATTTGTTCGTTGCGTTTTGTTTCTTTTCCCTTTCGTTTTCGTCGTGTCTGCGGGCCCAAGCTAACGTCTCTTCGGTTCCTGTCGTGACCTTTTCTGGATGCCAGTCTTCGATACTGGATATTTTGACGCACATTGCAGATCCATTACTACCACCTTGTGTGCCGGAAGTGCTTTCGGGTGATGCCGCAGCAGATGAGCTGGAAGAAAAGTCTCGCATCTTTCTCAAGGGTGGAGTCGAGGGCGACATGGTGGTGAGTTCGTTTCCGATCCCCTTGGCTGCTCTTATGTTAAACCACCACTACCCCTGCCGTCATAAATTAGGGGGGACAGGTAGCACATGTCCACGAGGGCTACCGGTAGCACTGTGGGGGGAACTGGCGGAGTGGCAAAATTGGAAAATGCGTTGAATTGGCCCCGCGATTTATTTCGCTGTTAAAATGATTTTTTTACCTTTCGAAAAAAATATTTTTCCTATAAAGATCGCGACAAAATCTATGGACCCTCGAACTTTCAGAGTTCTTGAGTCATCCTTCTGAGCGCAAAAAATCGCGAAAGTTGGGGTACTTTTCCTGTTGGCCCACACATGGTGGAGTGGCAAAAATGGAAAATGCGACGAAAAGGCGTGGCATATATTTCACGGTCTATTTTTTTTTTTTCTTCATTTTTTTGATATTTTCCCTGGAAAGACCACAACCTAATCTACAGGCCGGCGGGGGTAGTTGTGGTTTAAGGTTTGTTGCACCATAATAAAGTAGGGAACAGTTGCAATGAACCCACTATCTGCACACACAGCATCTCATAACACACTGATGTCAACACTTCAGCTCAGGAAACTTCAGATGAAGACAGAAGAAACCAACATCAGATAGGAGAACCTCGGAACTCTCTGCAAAATGTCCTGTACAGCGAATTTGTATGTGTATGGGTGGTGGCTACGGCTGACGAACAGCATCACTCGCGTATGAGCTCTCTCTCTCTCCCACCTACCCTACCGTCAGGCCTCACTCACTCTCTGAATATCTTCCTCTCTGTCTGTCTCCCACGCAGCAATGGCTATGGCGCTTGGCGTGTCGTTAACCAAGTAGCAATGCTCCCGTAACAATCGCTGCGGTCTGACTTTTGTATCCGACGCCTCAGTGCTCCACCTCAAACTTTCTGACTGGTACCCTCACTTGCCAGCCGCGGTCTGCCTCTGAAACATCGGGAATGGTTGCTGGTTTTCTTGTCTTGAGACTAAACTGCTTGCTGGACTGGATGGATTGACTGGACCGAACTGACTGGACTGACTGACTGATGGGGCCTATCGGATCTACTGGGCCTATGACCTGGACTTGGCTACCCGACTTACTGGAGTGGGAATATGGTTCATGGGACTTTGGGACTTTGGGACCGGTACTGAGACGGAAGCTGATACATGTGAAATCCCTTCAAAGTGCTGCACATGAATGTAAAGTACCAACAAGAGGACGGCCTAGGGAACTGGAACATGACACTGCATGACAAAAGAGAACAGTGCAAACAACTACTGTCTTCACCTTATCGCTGCATCTGGACCGAACATTGTCCTGAATACATGTTGCATACTAGTGAATAAGTTCACCAAGTATGGGCAGAACCAAAGATCAAGCAATATAGGATGAGCATGTATGCAGCGGAAGTCTGAGAAATGGACTGACTCACATAGACTGAACTCACCTAGACATCACTCAACACACAAGCAATCGTGAGATGGTGGGGTCTGAAGCCATACATAGACGATGCTTCAGCCCCGTACAACCATACACAGATGAATGGTGGGAGGAGAGACGATGGAGGTGGGAGATATAGATAGCGCCAGATGTCACCGAGATAGAATCTAGAAGGTCACCGATATGGTAGCCCAAAATGTCACTGAACAAAATCAGAATAAGTCACCAATGTCGGAGGTACAGAACTCTACTGTAACCGATGTCCGATCTGTGATGCCGCCAGGTACCAATCCCAGAGATCTCCAATGTCTCGTATCCGGTAAGTATCACATCCTCCTACCACCGAAGTCCAATCACTGATCTCTGTCCAACTCGTATCGATAGTCTCCAGTCTGAAGAAGAAGCAGAAGAAGAAGAAGAAGAAGAAGTTGGAAGAAAAAGAGAAGAAGGAGAAGAAGTCTGAAGAAGAAGAGGAGAAAGAGAAGAAGTCTGGAGAAGAGAAGAATCCGAGAGGGGCAGAGGGGAGGTGGAGAGGTCGAGTCCGCGCCCGGGCTCCTACCTGCGAATGCAAGCTGGCGCCTTGGAACTGTCGAAGACCCGCGGCTCCAACCTGGAGCTATGGCGCTGTGCAGGTAAGCCGATAAGTGTCCGTCCGCCACATCCAACCGTCGCTCAGCGCTAATCAGCGCTGCTGTGCTCGGAGCTGCGCTAAACACAGATTAGCGCAGCGCTATTCCGCAACTGCTGCTGTACGCCGGCGCTGCCGGTCCAAACGGTAATATCGTTTGGACCGTGGCTGCTTGGGCCTGTGCGACGGGGCCTACCGGGCGGCCTTCCGCATAAAGGTCCGGCCTTTGGACCGGACCGGCCTGGACTATCGTGTCCAGGCCTGTGGTACCCGTAGGCCTAGTGGTCGGGTCCGAAAGGGACCCTTGTGACATGCAGTATGTAACAACACAGCTGCAATGACCGGGTGTTCTATTCGGGTGAATACAGTAGCATCCTTTTCTGTTCTTTAGCCTGTGTCGTCAGGGTCCTCCATATGATTGTCATTTCAGGTCCTTCCGCCTGGATCATTTCTTCTTCCCCTCCTCAACTTTACTTGCTCTCTTGCGTTGGGCTTCACTTTCTTTTGCTGACTATAAATGCAGTCCAATGCGTCCGGTGGAGACCAGAAATTCATGTGCACTCCTGTTTGTCCATTGATCTGAGAGGTGGGATGTTCTTACATGGGAGTTAGGAGCCTCAGCGATCTTACCTCCTCCTAGGAATGTGAAGCTTCTGCTTGTCATTCCCCTCTTGACCTCCATATATATCCTTTCCTTTACCACAGGCTTTATCTTTTCCTCTTTTATGGTTCTGCAGACGAGTGTGTGGTTGGTTGATAGTGCAATCAATGGTCCAACCTTTCGTTCTACGTCTTGCCTGCATTGCTTGCCCGTTTTGACAAACCTTGATAAGAGTCTGCGTCGTGGAGTCGAACCATTCAACAAAGGGTTCTGACTTGGCCCACGTCAGGACATGTTTCTGTATGCTGCTCCTCTGCGGCAGCACCAGCATTTGTGCATCATCTGACAGGTACTGTAAAGGTGGACCAGCAGTCTTCGTTAGGCCTTAATACTTCAATTTGTTTGTGTGTGTGGATGTGTGTGTGTGTGTGTGTGTGTTTAAAAAATACCTCAATTCTCTCCTCGTTCCAACTGCAAATCATAGCAAATCATCCATAAAACAAAAAGGTATTGATACTACATAGGCAATATTAGAAGATGCAAGGTTGCCTCTATGTGTGTGTGTGTGTGTGTGTGTGTGTGTGTGTGTGTGTGAGAGAGAGAGAGAGAGAGAGAGAGAGAGAGAGAGAGAGAGAGAGCAGTTGGGCAAAGGGAGTAAGCTAGCAATTGTTGTGTTTCAGTTGGTATCAAGTAGTTATCAATGGTATGTGGTGTGCATTGACTTTCAGATGAACTTGGTCTCAGAGGACTAGGTATTGCCAAGCGCTCGTCTGATTTGGTCTACAAGTGAAAAATGTTCTCTCATCTGCCTTTGCATGTGACGGATGGCACCGTTTGGTGTGAAGATTGATTCTGTCTGCTATGTTGGTGCTGTCGCTGTTGCTATACTTCAGATTTACAATCCAGGAACGTTTCCTTGGGGAGCAGTTGCGCCTGCCAGGTTTGCATGGCGGCCAATCAGAGAAGCTCCCACGAACCTGCTAATGAAAGAGAAAGACAAGGAGAAAGAAGAGGATAATGAAAACGGGAGTGAGGACTCTGCCAAAAAGGCTTTGAAGAGGAAACCTGTCCACAGTCTGCTGTTCAGGCGGCAGCTCTGGCTGTGGGTTCACGCAGCGGGGTTTGATGAAGCACTCCAGGCGATTCAGAGTGGTTGCGAAATGAGGGTATGTTCGTACTTTTGCCTTCTTCTGGCCAGCCTAAGAAGGATGTCCAATCCCTCAGTAACCTTTCTGACTGAGTAATCGTGCTCTGGAATTCATCAATGCCCAACCTTACACATGGATGGCTAAAACGTATGATCCACCACGCCTCTGAATCACGGAAACAAAGTGCAAGCCGTGGTGAACTAGAGATGAAAAAGCATCTGGATCAGTTGGTTTGCCTGGCAGACATGTAAAGAGGAGATGGCGTGGTCGCCGCTGGCCATAAGAAGGATGTTCAATCCCTCAGTAACCTTTCTGACTGAGTAATCATGCTCTTGAATTCATCAATGCCCAACCTTACACATGGATGGCTAAAATGTATGATCCACCATGCCTCTGAATCACGGAAACAAAGTGCAAGCGGTGGTGAACTAGAGATGAAAAAGCATCTGGATCAGTTGGTTTGCCTGGCTGACATGTAAAGAGGAGATGGCGTGGTCGCCGCTGGCCATAAGAAGGATGTTCAATCCCTCAGTAACCTTTCTGACTGAGTAATCGTGCTCTGGAATTCATCAATGCCCAACCTTACACATGGATGGCTAAAATGTATGATCCACCACGCCTCTGAATCACGGAAACAAAGTGCAAGCGGTGGTGAACTAGAGGTGAAAAAGCATCTGGATCAGTTGGTTTGCCTGGCTGACATGTAAAGAGGAGATGGCGTGGTCGCCGCTACTTGTAGTTACATCTGGAAGTCCTAGATTGCATTTGATTGGAACTTAGCTCCATTTCCACCGCTAGAGTTCGGCATGACTTCTGTTGTATTTTGACGACTTGCCGGTGGAACAGGAATTGGACTGACGCTCCCCAGAACGGGAAGGAGCCAGGCCCATAAGGACCTGTTTTTTTTTGTTTTATGGGGAAAAAAACTTGGTGGACAGCTAGGTCCATAATAGGCACCAGAATCTGCAAATGTCAGTGCATAAGGACCTGTTTTCTTTTGTAATGGGAAAAAAAAGTTGGTGGACAGGTAGGTTCATGATAGGCATCAGAATCTGCAAATGTTAGTGTACATTCGGATAGTGAGAATTGTGGAATTAGTTTCATTTGATGGCAGTGTTGGAATTATAGACGTTGTGGTAATTTGGTACATCTGATAAAATTGGAATGATACAGAGAAGATTCGCATGGCCCCTGCGCGAGGATGGCACATAAAAAAGAAGGAATTAAAGATTGTGTGTAGCAGTTGTAAATAGCTAGCCGGAGAATGGATCGGGGCTTCTTTTTCTTTTCTTGTATGGGGGGGAGGGAACGGGTCATGTTTGGAATTGTATGTATGTAAGCATGAGATACGGAAATTGTGAAACACAGTTTGCTACGGTATGAGGAGCTGGAACAAGAAGTTGTGGCTTGCTTTTATCATGCGGCCTCCACACTGTTTCAGAAGGTCTGTCAAATGGGCATCTGCCACAGGTCTTTCTACTATCTGCGGAAATCTTGCCAGAGTGTTTTAGGAGGTGGTGGTAGTTGAATGACTCAGACGTGAGGTGTCGGTAGTAACAATCATATGTGCCGGTTCATGTCTTTTTCTCCCGGCTCTCCCTCTTCTTTTCCCAAAAGGATCTATGGTAGGGGTAATCCTTCAGTCATGGTTGCGATCTGGAACTTCTGCATGACCGTCTGGCACACACACACACACACACACACACACACAGAGAGGGGGGGGGGGGGGGGGGGAGAGAGAGAGAGAGAGAGAGAGAGAGAGAGAGAGAGAGAGAGAGAGAGAGAGAGAGAGAGAGAGAGTCTAGATGTGCGGATCCGGGTTTCAGCAACCTGATGGCCTGTCTCAATGAATTGGAAATTTAGAATGTATTTGTTAGGGATGGGCATGCACTGTCTGCTTGTGTCGAGTATGTTCTGTGTGTGGATAGTTCGGTTGGGGTCTTCTCTGCCTGTTAAGGGTGGTGTCAACCTACAGTCTATGGATTTTTTCATCCTGCGTGTGTTGGGTGATAGGTCTGCGGACTCTGCTGTGCTTTTGGGTCAAGGCAAATTGTGGCTTGAAGCAACTCGACAGGATTAGGAACTCAGTCCCACTGGGTCCCAAAATTTACACACTTGATTAGCCATATGTGGGTAAGGGTGGACAGGGGAAATAGGCAAACTAGGCAGTAAGGCAGTGAGTAGTAGGCGTGGTTTCATGGCTGGACTCCAACGCTGTGATTCAAACCGTTTTCATTTTTGTCTAAGAGGGTTCGGAAACGGTTCTTTTGTTGATATTAACTCTGAATACCTGCAAAAAAAATGTGCAGACGTAGGCACAAAATCAAGTTTACCAAAACACGAAATTATGTTTTCAACTTTTCGTCAGAATTTGCCACTTGCATACTGAGAGCAATTGTTTGGTGGTGGGTCTTTGTTCTATAGAACCGAGCATGGAAGACTGTGAATGAGAATGGCAAGTACGTAACCTGCTTTGGAAGGAAGGGGGAATATGGAAGGCTAGAACTGAAAGGCTCAGGGGCTCGAGAATTACTGCGGAGAGTCATTCGACCTGTTGATTGGTAAGTATCTAGTTTCCTGAATATGCTGTGCCACTGCTTCTCTGCCTTGGCGACAGTGCTCTATGACTGTAAATTTGAGTTGGTTTTCCGTCCAGGACTTTGTGCACTGCTTGATTGCTCTTTGTGAACTTATGGCATGGCACATGCTTTTCTGTGGCATGTCTGGTCGCACTGCTCGAATATGTATCGGATAATTGGACTGAACAAGGATGCTGTCTTTTTTGTGTCATGGTTACCCGATCACGTCTGATGATACTGTTCTGATATTTATCAGACAGATTCAGACAGAATATAAAGATTCCGCCTTTGTTTTTGGTTTGATTTTGTCGGGTTTCACACTCTGGCTTGCATATATTCTGATGAGATGGTCAATGGTCTGTCGAGTGCTCTTTGCACTAATCGGTTCTGTCTCTGACTCGTGGCACGACACATGGTTCTCTGGGGAACAGGCTTCCTGGAGGCAATCGGACGGACCTGCCCCCTCTCGGTGATGGAACAAGCTTGGCAGTCCCTGAGCAGGAGTCGCCAACCATGTGTGTCATTGACAAATGGATGAGAATGCTGCCAACCGGCGCGATGGTTGGGTTAAGGGTGCACGATCCGCGGCATTCCATTTCAAAACCTCTTGGGAAAGATGAATTAGCGGCAAGAGCGCAGTCGAAGATCAGAAAGCTGATGGCATTGAATAATCTTGAGGAAACTGTAGTTGGAGAAGGTTCGGCAGACCATGTCGATCGGAAAAGAAAGCGCGATGATGACACGGTCAGCAATCTTGATCACAGTACCAAGGTTCAGAAGGATGGAGGGGAGGATGGTGTAGGGGAAGCAACAATCAGGGAGGTTGTTGACATGAGAAGTCCGGAAAGGGGCGAGTGGGTTTCTGAGAGCACATGGGAACCTGAGGACGATAGACCGTTTGACATCAAGGACAACTGGTGGCTGCCTTTCAATAGCTATGCAGGTGTCGTCGGTGTGGCAGATTCGATGGAACTCTGGAACCCGAACCGGGAATGGTGGGGGAAGGTGGCAAATGAGCGGCCAAGGCCTGAGCACTTTGTGAATGATTGGCAGCTTGGCGAACAACAAGAAGTGGAGCTGGCGAAATGGAAAGGGAAGGAGGAGGGGACTCGTACCGATGCAGAAATGCAAGAAAGTGGAATGGATGCCAATGGAGGTGGTAAAGGTAATGGGCCCCTTGAGCTTGGGATGGAGCAGGACCAAATGTGGGCGGATACGGCTCCGGTGCTTCTCGTGAACCGTGGAGGTTGTGGGAATCGCTCAAGGTGCGTTGATGAACGTCAGTTTTTTTTGTTTTTTTTGTTTTTTTGTTTTGCATTGACGAACATGATCGAATTGTCAATGCATGGGATTTTCTGTCATTGATCTTTCTCTGTGTTTGTTTTTTCCTCTTCTTCTTTTCTTGTTGGTGGCAATATTTTGAGCTGTGCATCGCGTTTATCGCTTTGTGTCATACTTGCAAGCGCACGTCGTGCGGGCGGTTCCCTACGTGCGGCGCACGCGCCCAACCGATCCCGTGCGGCACACGCGCCCAACCGATCCCGTGCGGCGCACGACGTGTGCGGGGAACGACCCGTCACCCCCCTCAGAAAAAAAAAGGCCGGGGTCAAAACGATGTGTTTGAGGCCCCCTGCCAAAATTATAAGCGAGATGGAAAAAAAATACAGGAGTACTGCCTCACCTTGCTCCTCCTCCCCTTCCTCATTCTCCATGTCTCCTCCTCCCTTCTCCTTTTCGTCTCCTCCTCCTCCTCCTCCTGTTCATCCTCCTCTTCCTGCCCTTCCTGATCCTCCTTGTCTCCTCCTCCTCGTACTTCCTCATCTTCCGTGTTTCCTCGTGTCCTTCCCTTCCTCGTGTCCTCCCCTTCCTCGCCGTCCATGTCTCCCCCTCCTTCCACTCGTCCTCCTCCTCCTGCCCTTCCTCTTTTCCCTCCGTCCATCTCTTCTCCTCCTCCTGCCCTTCCTCTTTTCCCTCCGTCAATCTCTTCTCCTCCTCCTGCCCTTCCTCTTTTCCCTCCGTCCATCTCTTCTCCTCCCCCATCCCGACTCCTCCTCGTTGTCCTCGCTATCCTTGTCGTCCTCCTCGTCCACATCCTCCTCCTCCTCTCCATATCCCCCTCTCCTCGCCATATCCCCATCTTCCTGTCATACGCCCCCCTGTTCCCCCTCCTAAAAAAAGAAAATAAGAAAAATAAAAATAAAAAACCTGCACGATTCCGCACAGGCACCCCCCGCACGGAACTCTGCACGGAACTCCGGACGAATCTGCGGCTCGTGTGGTGACGATTTTGTTGCTTGCATCTGTTTGTGATGCGTGTGAAGTCGTGTTTAAGCCTGGCCCTCCCTTTGGAAAGCAGACGGTAAAAAATGCTATATGATGGGACCCCTACTAAGCTTGTTGTTTGTATTGGAAGTGGGAACTGCAGTTTTAATGCAAAAAAACAATGAGACAGATGTAAGAACGCCGGCTGTAGCCTCCTTGTTTTTGTTTTTTTTATTTTTTATAATTGGTGCAATGGACCATGGATCAGAGATATTAAATTAATATACAGAGCAGAGACTGCAATCGGTCTTAGCCAAATGGCCGAGAACGGTATGCTTCTGTTAGCTCTTTTTCTGTAGGCTGCTGGCATTTCAGATATTTATCATCATTTAAATTACCCCTATGGGAGAAACAAATCCCCATGCGCGAGGATGGGGTGATGGCAGGCATCGATTTGGGACAGCCTTTTTGTGGCCCATGGTCCTTATTTTGCTACTTCCTGTTTCCATCTCGTTTGAGTTTGATTTAAGCTTGAACATAGACTATTAGTCGTTCATGACTATGGGAAGGGTCAGCAAATTTTGGTGCGAGGTTGGAAAGATGTCAGTGCGGTCCTGTGTCCAGTCCAAGGTATGAGGGAAAAAAGGAAATAGGAGGCATACGGAGAGAACAGGCTATATAGGGAACGAAGTGGGGCAGTGAAGGGCATGGAGAATATTCCGAGGACTGAGGTGCCAACATCGTCAGCAGAGATTTCGTTCATACTTTGAGATATTCTTTGGCTGGCAGCATATTTTTGAGGGTCTTGCGGATGCCTCAATTTCTCGAGTTCTTTTACGCCCTTGAAGTGCATCTGCTGTCTTTTGGAAATGCTTGAATTTGTCTTTGTGGTTCCGGTTTCGGGCAGATTGCAATTTTTATGTATGCCCTTTAAAGTCTGTAAGTGCTTTGCACAATAAATTTCCCCCTTCGTCCAGTTTTGTGCATTGTTATATTTGGCATAGGAACACGGTCGGTTAGTGCTCCAGGTATGGGCGTGGTTTTTATGCTGCATAAGAGGGATGGGTTACCATCCCCCATGCTACCAATTTGAGAGGCCTTTAGAAGGGGGAAGGACTCATTCTTGTTCACAAGGACTTGTCCACGTTCACAAGGACAACTCGTTCACGTTCACACTTATTCATACACCTGTTCAAATTCTCGCTCATTTGTCTGCGCACTATCATTAAGCTCACTTGCTAGACCCAGTGCTCCCTTGCCTCCATTCCGTCACTGCCTGCTTTCTCACTTGCCCCGGTGCTCCCTTGCCCCCACACTCCGTCACTGCCTGATTTCTCTCTCTCTCACTATTCTGCCCCCTCCCTCTCTCATCCCCTTGTTTTGTCTTCTCCCTCCCTCCCTCCCTCCCTCCCTCTGTTGCCCCGCTTCGTTTCGTGGCTTCTCTCCTCTCTCTCTCTCCTTTCCCTCCCTCACTCCCTCCTTCTCTCCCTTTCCCCCTCCCTCCCCCTTACATTATTCCCTCCTTCCCTCTCGCCTGTTCGTTCCTCAGTCCGACACGCATTCAGCCCCTTCCTGCTTCCTGGAGTCGCTTGCATGCACATCCAGTTCTACACAACACGCTGCATTTACATTGATTTTACACTTTATGGCACTTAGGGCCTACTAAGCTTTAGGGCCTTCTTATTCTTGTTCTTCCCCGCCTCCTTCGTCTTCTCCCTCCTTTCTCCTTCGCTTTTCGGCGAAGTGTTTAGTCGCGAGAATAGTGAGATTGTGTGGGGTTACCATTTCGGACACAACAGCAATTTGGGTGCACTGGGTCTCTCCGACTTCCTCATGTTGAGGGCTTGTTCAATGTCAGGCCTGATAAGTTTGTCTGGGCGTCAGGCAAGTTCTTCAGAAAACCATTCTTAGTTTGCAGATTTGTTCCTGGCATCGTCATTTTATCAGTTGTGTGCTCGGTCGTAAGGGGATCATTCTCTTGTAGGTTTCACCCTCAAAATTAGTGAACTTTGCTTTTAAATCTGCGTCTTCTGTTGGATGGGCCATGTAGTGTGCCACCCTCTTTTGGTCTACGATGTTCCGGGGCGGCCATTGCAGCAGACATTTTTCTCTGGTTGCCAGTTGGTGCAGGGTTTCACGAAAAGTGTTCGCAAGTCCTTAGGTGTGCTCTCATAGAGGCAGCAATCATCTATGCAGAGTATGTGAGGCAAAGTGAACCGGTCATGCGAAAACCGGTCTTTCAGGGCAGTGGTAGTATAGACGATGTTTGGAAGTGCATTCGCTGCCAGTTCATTTGCCAGGTTTTTGTTGGTCGCGTTGGATCCAGTGTCTTTTCTTTGTATTTCTGTTCATGCCAGTGGCTACCTGTCCTGTGGACTTCTACCAGGTCTGTTCTCAGTCTTACACGTTTTGAGTGGTAAAGTTCATCATATGGGGTATATTCTTATTGCAGATGGCATTTTGCACTCACGATCTCTTTTGCTCTAGTGCAGGATCACGAGTCCTCAACGACAATGGCTGGCCAGTTGTCTTAAGTGTCATCATAAGCAGCCTACTTTGTTGCTGGTGGCTGTGTTTCAATTTATATGGTGTTCCACTCTGAACCGTTGGATTATCGAGGCAGCCTTTTGCCAGTGCTCGGTGGTGTGCAGTACTGCAGTCAGGCTCTCTTTTTGTTATGCTCAGTGGCTGACTTGCGTTGAGCTTGCTCTTGCACGCCATTGTTCCTCATTAGAAGACCTTCGTTGGGCAGAGGGAAGAGCGAGGAGGGATCAACCTTGGCAGTATCAGGTTGGAACATCTGGTTAGCAGACAGCATTGGTTGCTGTGCATTTTGCAGCGTGACAGCAGTGTACTGACCGGCGGGATTTTCTTTTTGTGGTCTTTCCAGCGTTGGTTTTAGGTTACTTGTTTTGTATGTGACTTATGTTCTATAGGTATCCTGCTTCGTTTGACATTTACAAGGAAGCTTTGGGTCATGTGCTGGTGATTCGTCTCAAATTTTGCTTTGCCTTGCCTGATTTCTTGAAGGACTGGGCACTTGTTTTTCATCTGTGTTCTGTGCTCTTGGTCTCTTTCCTCTGCTTTGAGAGAATATCCTTATTGTGGGTTGTCTGCTTCATTCCTGGCAGTGCTGTATTCACAGGCTATAAATGCCGTGCTTCCCGTTTAACGAAGACGAGCATGGCATTCAACATCTCCGGCATTGTCTGCAGCTCCTGGTAACGTTTTAGAAGATCTGGAAAGGCTTAGCTATGGACGGTGTGGGGATGACGGTAAGGGGTGCATTCTCATAGGAGTGCAACGCGGTGGGTGTGAGGTGCACATTGGAGAGAGCAGAGGAGATGTATGCTTCCTATTTGGTGGCTGTTGGCCATGTCCATCGGGCTCTTAGGGAAACAGAGGGGTGAAGGAAAGGGCTGAAGAGGGGAACCTCTTAATTGATTAATTGATGTTGTGGGCTTTCTCTTCTCTGCGCAGATGGTCACTTATTATGCCCTGGAAGTGGGCAGGTCCCTTCTGGATGGCCTTGACTTCCAATAGCGGAAGTGGGGTTGGAGTGAACGAATGGCGACGTATAGAAGCAGAGGTGAGTGAGTGCAACCACACCTAGCTGAATCACAACCGCCATGGAGTTGCTGTGGCTTTTGGTGGTGAACCAAGTTTGCAGTGGGCCAAGCTGGGGCCTTATATGTCGTCGGTGTGGGATCGAAAGCTGTCCTGTGAACTATGAGAAGGGTTTTTTTTAGTAAGCCAGGTGTTCAAATCACGCGGCATGATACGTGGCATGATAGATGCTCATGCTAAGTGGCTGGCCTTATGCCTCCTTTTCAGGTCCACGGCATCTCAAAAGATGGCCCTGTCTGCTGGGTTGATTACGGGCACCTGGAGTTGCATGCTGGGGGTGTGATGTTGTCTGTGGGAGGCTCGGTATACTTGCGCACGCCCTGGGCAATTGGAAAACTAACAAGTGCAATGATCGAGTTGTGGGTCCCCATCGGTTTCTGTGGTGACTGTTTCGCGTTTCAAAAATCCTTTCTTGTGTCTGCAACTGTCCAAATTTTTGAAGCGGGCCCCTTTGGCGATCTCCTCCTCTAGATAGGCAGTAATAACCTTGTAGACAGTTTGCCTCACAGTCGTTTAGTGACAACCACAAATTGCCTTCGCTTTAGAGGTCGGGTATGTTCTTAGCATTTGTTGGTTATGGCAGAGAAAATGTTTCTTCAACAGGGTGATGGGTGTAAGACCTTGTAGTTATGAACTGAAAAACCACTGCAACTCTATGAGCTTAAGTGCTCTGCTATCTGATTCGATCTGATAAAGTGTTTTGGTCCATTGGATACTTAACGTGTTTGATGAATGTCGGGACATTCTTTTAGTGAATGGTGCGGCCTTTTTGTCCCACAACAACCTCGTTTGTGTCGCATGATTACTCAAGCACATGGCACTTTCCTGCTTGTTGCTCCCTGTCCAGTCTTCAATCATCGATAGTGGGAAAGCTGTTGCTGTGTGGCCGATCTTCATTCCACGTGACTGATCCTGAAAGCTCCTTGGTTCACTCACTCAGCAAGCCAATCCTCTTGTTTGGAAAATCTAGAGTTTAGGCTCGTTCCAGACCTCTTTTCTTTGGCAGTTTCTCTGGTCAGATTGCCCATCCTCTTAGTTCGGAGTCTGGATTCCGGCATCCTGTTGTTGCACGGTGTTGGGAGGCACGCCATGTGGAAAGTGTCGGAGCCATCTTTTGATGTAGGAGCGCACTCGAATCATGCCGTGCAAAGAATTGCAAGCCGGGCCGTGCTTAGGTGGTCCGTAGTTCACAGCGGGTGGATGCTTAGGCCCTAAGGTACTTATGCAAGTGCCTGTAGTGGAGGGCGCACTAGGCTGTGCACGTGGGAGGGCATGCTGCCTTGTACGTATTTTGGCGGGGCAGCAGGTATGTACATCACGGCCAGACAATAAAGCGTGTGATTGTGTTTCACGGACGACGTTCTGGGTCACCACTGATCTCCCATTTGGGTGCCAGGGAGACGAGTTCAGCGCCAAAGACTGTGTTGTATACACTGTATATGGAACTGTAGTGGCAACGTTTCTGGGGATGCATCTCCTGTGTGGGTGTCTGGCAGAGAACCTTGTCTTCCTTATGGACTGGGCAAAACGTTTGCGGATTCTCTTGCTCAGAGTGTTTTGTGTAGTAGTCAGTGGCATTGGTGGTTTCTTCCCGTCCGGTTAAAGCCTCCAGAATGGTACTGCAGATCTCATGCAGTGTTGAGCGCAAAGCAGGCGCATTTGAAGTCACGTTCAGGATAGCTTTGTCCCAGCCCAGCCACACCAGAATAGCATTCTCCAAGCCCAGTTTCTCCCACTCCAGCCCCTTTCTTACTCTGACACTGGGTAAACTAGTGTGTCTGTGCTGGGAACTTTGGGATTCCCTCATGGCATCTGTGTAATTCTGTATGTGTGTCAAGCTCGCAAACCACGGATTGCGAGTTGTCTGTTTGAGTTGTGGTCTAAAATAGTGGAATTGAGTTGTGCGTAGCAGGGTGCATAATTTAGACCCCTTTGCGTGGAGGATTAAAGTCTTCAGCTCCTTGAATTAGGACGGAACCGATTTTATGTTTTGTTTCTTATATTGTGCAGATCGCGTCGTTTGTTTGTTTTACTTGGTGGTGGTGGTGGGTGGTTCTGTTCCGCACAGTTCAGTTTGTTGAACTGAGTTTTTTTTTGTGGAAAAGAAAGTTACTCGTGTACATATCCCCCTGTGCTTCCACAGTTTCTGCCCTTTGAGTTCTGTAGGTGATGTCCAGGCATGCTATTTTAGATGTGACCCGCGCACGGGAGAATTCGTTAGTCAGTGCGGCCTGTGGCGGTGTGGTCCATTTGCCATGAACATGGAATTGAAAGTGACGACTGATTGTTGCTTAGGCTGTGTTCTCAGCAGTCTGCTCACTGCGCTGTTGATGATAGATGGGTCATTGAATACTGGAGGGGACGAGTGTGGGGGCAATTGTCTGATGCACTGTTGCAGGGCAATGGTTTAGTGCACTGTTGCATGCCCTAAATTTTGTTATCTGGTTGTGATACTCTTCTGCACACTATTGTCTCTGTCATCATATCGCCCTGGCTGATGTAAGGGGCAGGGGAATAAATAGTCATAGCCATAACAGACAGGTATAGCACGAGGCTTTGTGCTTTTGATGCTGCTTTTGTTCAGGACGGAGTCTTATTGACTTAAACGGTTAAACCACCCGTGCACCCGGGCCCGGAGGCGCGTCACTGTGCACCAAGCTTTTCTGAATCGCGAGCGGCAAACATTTTTTCTTTTTTGGCTGGCCCTGCTGGCCATTTCAGTCCGGTAGCCCCAAGCCGCAAAAAAAATGGAGCTGGCAACTCGTGCAGTTCGACAAGGCGGGGACTGTGTATTGGCGGTTTAGGATGATAACAAGTCAGCACAGGGGTACCTAGACAAAACACCCAGAGGTAGAACCGGGTGCCACTTGTGTTGGTAGATCGTATCTGAGGAAACAGTTGCACTCGCGGAACGAAATGATTTGTATCAAGTGGAGGCGAGCAGATCTTCTTGTTCTTTCCAAATATGACTGCTTGCGACTGTGTTTGTGCTCCTTAGTCTACGCTCTGCTAACAGATATGGCGTCCTCCTGGTGCCTGAGGCCTGCAAGCTCGTTTATCCTGCTCTACCTGTGGCCACACCTAGCTTCTGTGTCGAGGAGCATAGCTCCAGGCATGCTTATTACACTGGGAACTAGAACTATGGTGGAGTGTTTCTGCCACCAGTTACTGAATGAAGGACATGAGAAATGAGTAACACTGTATTCTAATGTTTGTTTGGAAAGTAAATGGAGGCAGAATCTGGCAGATAGATATTTTTTTATGTCTCCGATCATGCTGTTTGACTAATGGGATCTTCAGTCTCCCGAATCCGGTGTGGGCACTGGTTATCAGGAAAGTGAACGTTTGCCATGTCCACAGACTGCCTCCGTGTTTATCCAGTGATGATTTTTGCTGGGGATCGATCCTTGAAGTAGGGCCAGTGCACTCAGCAACTCCCCTTCTGTGACACCTGCATATCTTCACCACCTGAGCACGGTGCAGACTAATCTGCTTTCGTTTGTGTATCCGTTCTTGATGCAAATGAGCTTGGCCTTCCAGCCATCGGTTTCCGGTCTGTCAGTATATGTCACTCAGAATCTACTTCTTTCTCGGCGTTATGGTTCTGTTCTCTCAGGGTTCGAACTCTGGAGCCTCTGACTGCCCTCAGACAGCCGGCTTCTTTGTGGGTTTGCCCTCTGGCGAACAGCCCTGTGCGTAGTGTGCGGATAATAGGTTCTTGTGCTGTAAATGCATGCGGTCATATGGAATACCTCCATGTGCGTCACGCCGATCGGTATTGCGGTTTCCAGTATTTTGAGGTGTAGCTGGAACCAAACGTTCAACGATGTGTCCTTGAAGGCCTGATTTGTTCACATGGAACCTAGCCGCCCTAGGGTTTTAGGATATTCAAAACGTGAGGATGGTCGTGTGAATTCCGGTGCTGTTGCAAGAAATCATGAGTGCTGGCTTTGGCAAGTGAATGCTTCGGGGACTTTGACCCCGTTTCCCGAGAGCTTCGACTTAGCAGGGAAGTGGGATCGCTGATTTTGAAACTGTGACATTGAAATGTGTGTGATGCAGTTGTCGTAAACCTTTGAACTTTATGGTTAGGAAACCTGTGTGAAATGCTTCTTTTAGACTGTCATGCCCTTCTATTTGTGTAAGTACCTGTAGCACATATATCTCTTCTCGGCGCGAAGGCCGTTGGGAAAACGAGTGCTGCACTTTGGAATCAGTGAAACAGCCTTGCTGAGGGGGGAAACAACAACTGTTTGTTTGCCTGCCTTGTGTGGCATAACAGGCTATAGTCTGCTTGCAGTCGAAGTAAATTGGTGCATGTCATTTGGTACACCGATGAACTGTCGAAAGACAGACCTGACTTCGTATCCTTATACAATCAGAGAGAAGAATAATATAGCTCTGAATTACCTGGGTGCCGGTCAGCTTAATGATGATATCTCAAGGCCGTCACTGTTTAAACCACCATTACACGCCATACATTGGCCATGGGCAGCTTTCAGAGGCCGAAACGCAACAAAGGCCGCCTATTGAATTTATCAACGGCGGCCCTGCCCTGACTTTTCCGGATGGGCAACGAGTTTTGTATCAGCAATGCTGGGGCCGTGTACTGGTGGTTTAAACAAGAAGAAGAAAAAGAAATTGGTGGACGTCTGGTCTGACATGGTTGTACTGATGGTTGAGTATAGAAAGTCCTGTTGTGTCTTTCGCAGAATCTGACAGAGTGGTTTGTCTGCAGACTCGACGCCCGGCCTATCCTTGGGATTTTCCAGATACGGTGCCATTCCTGCGGCAGACTTGGAAAGAGTACTTGGCTAAGAAAGAGAGCTTGGAGAAGAAGAATTCCGATTCTGGAGCCATTCGTCCTGTCCCTCTTCGGTTTGGTCCTGTTGTGGAGACTGCGGGAAAGATTATACAGGATGATGCTGTGGGAGCTGCAAGGGAGAATTGTGATATGTCATATTTCGTGGCACGTAGCCCGACAGTTCTACGCGATGCTTTGGCAAACCACTTGCCTCGAAAGCGTCCTGTTACCAAAGAGGTAAATGCTGTAGCGAAGAAGGCGGAGAGGGAGAAAGATGATGACAGAGATGGAAATGACAAGGAAGAGAGTGATAGTGATGATAATGATGATGAGGAGGAGGATGAGAACGGCCAGAACAGAAAGCACGAGAGCAGCAAGGGTGAACGCATCAAGAGTGAAACAGAGCATGAAAGCATGAGTGAGGATGCCAAGCGGGAGAGCAAGGACGAAAGAAAGAGGGATGTTAATGAATGTCTTGTCTTTGTCTCGCTGAATCTTATACGAGATGCGCCGGGTTATGTCCAGGACGGGGCGGAAGTCTGCGTGGTCAGCTTCACAGACTTTGAGAACTATTGCAGGTGTGTATGGATCACCACATGTGTGTATCCCTTGCCAACTCCACACCTCTGACCGAAACCAAGGATTATAAGTCGTAACGGTTTGACTAAAACCATTGATGATGTAGGTGGCCTGAGAATGAAGGGGGTATGGTAAGTGCATCCATCCCTTCCGTGCTGTCTGAGATGGTAGTGGGTGGAAACCACCTACTGTTTGCTTGGGCTGCCTCACGCAGAAGTGTCGAGGAATATTGACAACAGAACTCTGTAGTGAAGTAGCCGCAGGGGCGTGTTCGTCGATGCCCCATTGCTTGACACATCTACGTGTTGTCCAACTTGCACCCATCGCCGCTAGGAGACATACAATAGGCTTTTACGAGATCAAATGTCTCAACCTGTCATTTGCTTGGGCCGCCTCACGCAGCAGTTTCGAGGAATATCGACAACAGAACTCTGTAGTAAAATAGCCGCAGGGGCGTGTTTGTCGGTGACCCATTGCGTGACACATCTTCATATTGATCGACTTACCGCTTGCCGCGAGGAGACATACGGTAGGCTTGTACGAGATCAATGTCTCTCCTTGGTTGGTGGCGTCGTGTACTGCGTGTTGCTGTCAGAGCTTTGCTGCAGGCCCAAAGCAGATGCCCGCTTCTGGCATACACAGAGAGAGAGAGAGAGAGAGAGAGACTGGTAGTCTTATGCAGGCAGGAGCTGTGACCATTCTTGTGTGATAACTGCTATGGCTATGACCAAGAGCTTCAGGCCAACGACCTGACAATCCGATGTCTGTAGTCCAGAATTCCGATGTCCTTTCTGCATGTCTGGATAAGGGAAAATGTATGCGATTCAGGGCATTTTAAAATTTGCAATCCAAATCAGGAAAAAAAAGAAGAAAAAAAACAACGTGGCAAAGGGTTGAAATCCAGAATGGTGTCCTTCTGGACATCCGTTAAAATTGGAGCGATACACAGAAGATTAGCATGGCCCCTGCACAAGGATGACACACATATATCAGGAGATGTTCCAAATTTTTTATTTATTTTTGCCATACTAATTGCCCTTCTCTATATCGTTCCAATTTTAACGGACGTCCCGAAGGACAGCTGGTCCAAATTTTTAAAGGAAAAAAAAAGAAGAAATCCGGAATGGCCTTTTGTGTCAGCCCTCCTCACGATCAGATTTGAACGTCCTGAGCTGGTCCGGACCATTAGGATGTGTCTGTCCCACCACATCTGCCTTGACGGCGATTAGGATCTCGTTGAAGGTGGTCCGTAGCCGCCGTGATAACTCTTCAATCAGGGTGTTGTTCTTGAGAAGGATTGTGTCACAGTTTCATTGCAGTTTTTGGCTGGCCTACAGAGCTCGCGTCTGATGCACTGACTCTGTCTAGACTCTAGAGCAAACAGGTACCTACGTGTCAAAGCTCGTTAACAGGATTTTCGACGTGTTGTTCAGCTAGGAAGCAAACAGGTTTTTGAGCTAGTTCCTCACAGGGCGACTTACTGCACCGCTCTGCTTCCCGATGCAATTTTAAGTCGATGCTCTTCTGAGGATTCTACAAGGTTCCTAGGGTTGATTCTCCCCCCTCGATGTGATGCCATTAGGTCGATGGAAATTTCCTGATGTTTATTGTCTGACATGTGCTTGCTCTTTGCCGGTGTCTGTGTGATGTGATGCGCAGTTCGGAAAGATGGAACGGGGTAACGTCGGAACGTACTGTGAGCCGGATCACAGGTCGAGCGATGGTCTTCAAGATTCGAGAAGTAATCGGCCATGTCACCACTACAAAGCCCCTGGGAATGTAAGTTTCTTTTTCCGATTGCAAGTTTGTTTTCCTTTCTGTTCCTGCCTCCGTTTTTGGTATCTGGAAACTTGTTACCTTGTATATTTATTTTTCCCTCTTTGCAGCCACCATGATAAAAAATCCGCTTTGTGTGATACGGTCTCGGCTCTGCATAACACTGCTAACTGTGCGTGCACATCGTCGTCGTCTCTGTTTCTTGTTTTTCCCTTTTTTCAAAGGAATCATCTACTCTGTTTTTGTTTTCCTTTTTAGGAAAGGAATCATCGTCTCTGTTTTGGTTCTGCATCACACTGCCAACTGGGCCTGCACATCATCATCGCCTCTGTGGTTTTTCCCCCCCCCTTCTTCAAAGGAGTCATCGTATCTGTTTTTGTTTTCCTTTTTGGGAATAAAATAATTCTCTGTTTTGGTTCTGCATCACACTGCTAATCGTGCTTGCACATCATCATCGTCTCTGTTTTTTTTCCCCTTTTTTCCCTTTTTAAAAGGAATCATTATCGCTGTTTTTTTCCCCCTTTTTAAAAGGAATCTCCGTCTCTGTTTTGGTTCCGCATCACACTGGAATCATCGTCTCTGTTTTGGTTCTGCATCACACTGCTAACTGGGCCTGCACATCATCATCGTCTCTGTGTTTTTTTTTCCCCCCCTTCTTCAAAGGAATCATCGTATCTGTTTTTGTTTTCCTTTTTGGGAAAAAGATAATTCTCTGTTTTGGTTCTGCATCACACTGCTAACCGTGCCTGCACATCGTCATCGTCTCTGTTTTTTTATTTCTTTTTTCCCTTTTTAAAAGGAATCGTCATCGCTGTTTTTTTTTTCCCTTTTTAAAAGGAATCTCCGTCTCTGTTTTGGTTCCGCATCACACTGCGAACTGTGCCCGCACATCATCATCGTCTCTGTTGTATACTCGATAAAGTCTCGGGAATTATTTGAGGCAGCAACTTGCCATTGTCGTTTGGCCCATGGTACAATGGAGTATCTGTCTGTGCAGTTAAAAATTAAAATGCGGCAAAAATTTGACAAAAGGAGGCACGTGGTATGAAGTTGCTATGAACGTGATTGCCGTGAGGTCATGGATAGTGAAAAAAATAAAATGAAAGGGCATACTCAAACTAGACCCTCAAAATCACGGAAGAGTAAAATGAGCTGCCAGATCGAGCTCTTTTTTGAGGAGTACTTGGCTCAACTGTTTGGCGAAAGTGGCTTTTCACCCAGACGCCTCGATCCTGTTGTTTTTCTTACCACCACAGGATCGCAGGACCTCACAGGTTTACTTTCTGGAAAAAAAAGAAAAAAGAAAAGTGGCATTTCGCTCAGTTGAGAGAGCGTAGACGCTAATGGCAACCACTTGGTAGCTCTGTGTTTCTTCCTCTACAATGTGTAGTATGCGGTTTCAACGGTCTCGTCAGCCACAGCCGCACGTCAACAGGGTGTCATCAAATTTTGCGTAGTAAACTTTGTTGATGATTGAATCTCATTTCGATTGATAAAAAATTCCGGAAAATGCAGGGTAGGTTCCGATGTATCAGGGAAAGATATTAGAAAAAAAATCAAGAAATAGAGTTTTTTTCCCGAGTACGGACGCCGGCCGGCCGGGCCGGCCCGGGTGGGCCGCCCGGGCAAACTGGGCAGGCAAAAAAACAGCCCAGAATTTTTTTTTATTTTATTTTGAAGATGGGGTCCTCCTGTCGGCGAGAGGACCCCGAATCTGCAATAAAATTCTGGTTTGGGGG